CGGTACCGAGTTGGGTGTACGGCTCCTACAAACGGGATGGTGGCCCCGCCCGGTTATTACATGGCCTTTGCAGTCAATCAGGGCGTGCCAAGTGTTGCTCGCTGGATACATCTATCGCCCCAGTAATTACTTAACGAATTCTTTTGTTTGTTTGTTTTCTTTCATTTTTAAATCTGGATGTGAAAATCGAATTATGCCATTGTCCATGTCAGTAAAAAAATCACGGCGGGAATGTAGGAAATAAAACGCACATAAGTTAATAAAAATATATATATATTTCAATGACGGTCAAGATTCGATTGTTTGTTATTAACAGACATTCGAAGTTTTTTTTTAAAGCCCGTACTTAACTTTCCACAAGTCTACAAGGATCTCTCTCTCAGCACAGCCATCACATCGCTGGCGGTCTCTAGCGATCCACGGCGGGCATATCCAGTGTCCTATGATTATTGGATTGGAGTGTTCTCTCCAGCCAATTTCAGGTTTATACTATTTATAAAGTTTACCTATGCCTATCTCATCTGCATTCGATTTCAATTAATTTATGAAATTCTGTTTATCATGTCTTGAATGGAAAATTCTGTTTATCTGTTTCAGTTCTTCCACCTGCCCTATGGAGAATCCAATAGTACATCCACCATTACTTTGTTCTGCACCTATCAAGGTCCATTCCACTTGTTTTTTAGTTTGTGTCTAATATCAATTCTGCTATCTTACACTTAATCGTTAAAATATCTCCTCTGTTGTTGTTTGGTGAATTCTGCTATATAATTGTTATGATAGATGTTGGATTTGGAGGCTAAATTATGATGAAGTTGTGTCTTCTGTGTATGAGTAGTAATCTCATGAAGAGGTAGAATGGATGGTTTTTTGATCAACTGATGAGAACTATATGCCTTTTGCCTGCTAGTTTTTTTGAAGTTATATATATTGCTTATTTTAATATGAAACCATTTTCTGACTTTTGTTTATAAGAAACGAAAAGAACTTCTCTCATTGGAACTTTGAAGAGTTGAAGGATTAAGCCAACAAAATACTCGTTGCAATCGTTGAACTTGCATACTGCAGAAGAGCATGATCTTTCCATCAACTTCTACATGCATATTGCTGATGATTGGACAAACAAATATATTTTCTGGTATTTTGCTTTTCTATACCTATCTCGTATTTCATTTTATTGTTGATTAAACTGTGATCTATTTTGTCGTGTGGAGGAGGAAACTAGTTAGGTCTTAGTTGGATAGCTATTGGTAGAGAACTAGGCGTTTTATTTCCAAACAAGTATCATTTGAATAATGGAAATTACATACATCTCGATTAATTAGCGCCATGACACCTAATTGTTTGTACAAACACAAAGAAAGAAGAAGAAAAACTTTCTGACTATTAAAGCTACTAAAACGCCACAGATTATATTTTATATTATAGGGAGTATTTTTCAAACTGCGTCTCTGCCCTTGTCATTGCCATCTCCATGGTAGCAGTGGGCCACCCTCGTCTTTTGCAGGGTTTTGTAAGAATACCGTCGAGCCAAGAACACATAAACACATAAATCAACTGCAACAATTGCTGCTATTAGCCAATAGAAATTGTCCAAACGGCCGCTGTTCAAATCTTCCCCAAACCAACTCTTCCCATTACTCTTTTTGGTGATCCGGTCCACTACTGTAATCAGCAAGCTGCTGATGAAATGGGCAGCCCCATTGACACTGAGGTAAAACGCTATCCCAAGGCTTCTCATGGAGTCAGGAACTTGGTCATAGAAATACTCCTGCAGCCCCACCAGAGCTAACCCATCTGCAATTCCGATGATCAGAAATTGTGGGGCCAACCAGAACACGCTCATCTCCGTGGATCCTTTTGTTGGGTTGTCTTTTATGACGTCAAGTCTCTTTCGCTCGACAAGGGCGGCGACCACCATCGACATCAAGGAGAAAACCATTCCAATTCCTATCCTTTGGAGGATGCTCATGCCCCTCACGTTGCCTGTGGTTCTTCGGAGGATCGGAACAATTAGCTTGTCGTAGATTGCGACAAAGACTATCATTCCGGCCGTGGCTACACAGAACATGGACGATGCGGGCATTATGAAACTTCTTCCGATTTTCCTGTCAAGAGTTAAACATTGTTTGACAAAGAATGTGGATGCTTGTGCCACGCAGATTCCAAATGGTAAAGAAGTCATCCAAATTGGGATCATATTCAAAATCAGCTTCAACTCCTCAACTCTAGTAATGGTTGCAAGTCTCCAAGCACTCTGTTTCCCACTTGAATTACCTGTCTCCTCCATGATCGCAGCTTTGTCCAAAAATCTGCCCATATGATTTAACTTTTAAGAAAGTAAGATTAAATGATTCAATTCAGTCACTTTAAGTCATCTTTTATCCACTCGAAAACTCACTCGTTATTTTTTTCAAACTTCAATCCTAATAGGCCACTTACTTGAGCTTTTGTGTATGGGACAAGAACCTCCCCTGAGAGTTGTCAGTGGATTGGTGTTCATAGAGGTGAGAAGGATGGGGAGGATAAGGCAAATTCCTGTTTCTGAAGGCAGCCACAAGAACCTGCAGAAGCGGAGTTAAAGGGCTTCCCAATGGTGCCCTGAACCGATAAACCGGCCTGCCAAGGAGGAAGATTGCAAGAGATATGGCCATCACCGATGTGAGAATCACACCGGAAACTCCCCAGCCCACATGGTCTTGCACAAACACTATTAATGTCACTCCAAATATGACGCCGGCACAAAGGCCAGAGTTCCACCAGTTGAAAAATGACATCTTTTGCTTTCTTTCTTCCTCGTGATCATCGTCGAACTGGTCGGCGCCGAAGCTCTCCAGGGAAGGCTTGTGCCCACCGGTCCGGACGGAGATGAAGTAGATGGCCGTGAAGAACAGAGCTTCATGAAGCTTTCTCGGCTGGTCGCACGTTATTTCAGCGCCACATGCCTTCAAGCTTGGTACCAGAGTGGACACTGTGAGCAGAGACAGCCCCTGTTTGCAAATAAAATGCTAAATAATTGTTAGATAAGTTTATTCACATGGTGGTGTTGAATTATTAGGAAAAGGGAAAAGGGGATACTAAGAGGTAGACGATTGTGGAAGCGAGGACAGTGGAGAAACGACCCAAATAAGCATCGGCCAAGAACCCACCAAGCAGAGGCGTCAAAGTGGTGACACCAGTCCAGTAATTCACATTTCTCGCTTCTGTTTTCAAGTCTTGGCGTATGACCTTCGTCAGATATATCACTAAGCTCGTCGCTATTCCATAGTAACTCAGCCTCTCACTGAATTCAATCGCTGCACCAAACAAAAGTTTAAAGCGGTGTGTTACGAGGTTAAGTCACCCATCAATCCAAAAGTTTAAAGCGGTGTATTACTGACATATCTTTAATAGTTCATTTTCTTCCACTTTTTGTCCGTAACCCATTGAACCGTAGCCTAGATTTATAAGCATGATTGAACTCGTCTGGTCCGTATTATTGCTTTCAAAAGTTTAAAACTTAATGTCATCGCCACATTAATTTTTACAGATTACACTTTTGTTTGAGTGTTTAGAAAAATATTCAAAGTTTATAATATTAATAATATGATGTGTACCAAATTCTAATCGGTAGTCATCCAAGATTCTTCTGAAAAAAAAAAGAGAGATAAAAAAAAAGACTTTTTGATGATATTTCTCTTCCTACGACATTTTTATACACTGCGTATGAATATTTCATGGCTTTAGAGAAAGATATGAGGTTTATTAGGCAATTAGTTCTATCAATTAATTATAGCACCCTCCTAAATCAGGAAACCCCCACCCAAAAAGAGAAAAAAAAACCTTCGTACAGTCGAAACAAAAAGGTACAATAAATCTTCGTACATCGCACTGTATTAGGTTTTAGTAAAGTTTAAAATGTCTAGATCTCAACTCTACATAAATATTGGAAAAATATTTTAAAAATCATGAATATGTGTGAAACTTATTTGTATCTGTTAATGAAACTATAATTCCAATTTTTTTTTACTAAGGAACTATAATTCCAATTCAATCAGATATAATTGACCTTTTTTATTCATCTTAAATATTAATAATAGTAATATTTATATGAAAATGCCTACTTAAAAATACAAAATGATGAGACTGAGACATATATAAATTTAGATGAAAATGGTTTAAATTAATTCATACGTTATAATATATATTTATATGAATATATTCCTATGAGAAAAAGGGTTACCTATAGCTTAGGAATTAAGTGGATTAATGTTGAATAAAAAAAAAGAAAAGAAAAGAAAATATTCGGTTACCGATGATGAAGAGGGAAGCTTTCCAAACGCCGGTGGATCCTCGGTGGGGAATTCTGCCCTTATGATCGACAGAAGAATCGTGAACCAAATAATTTTGATGATTTTGCCTTTTGTTTTTGTTTTTGGGCTGATCTGCCAATTCAGTTTGCTTCTCATCGGTTTTCATCTTCCCTCGGTGGTTAAGGAGAGATCACCATTAATACAAGAGAACAAAAAAAAGGGGTTTGCTTTTCTCTTTCGTTTTTGTTCTTTCTCTTTCTCTCTCTCTCTTCGATTTAGAGTGAGATAAAAGCGAGTGGAAATGAAGAGGGAGGACTGGCTTTGGACTTCCTTAAATTAGCTTTTTTGGATACTTTTAATTTATATTTTTTAAATTTTATTGTTTTACTCTTTTAACTTGCTCAGTCCACTCCTCCCAAATATGGGAGAGTGGTTAACCTTGTTTAACTTATACCCCTTGATAATAGGGGATTTTTTTTAAAAAAATATTGTTAGTATTTAAAATTATTATGAAAATAATGGTAATTCAAAACTTATTAAAAATAACGTTTTGTAAATATTTTTGTCACAAGGTTGTCCCTTTACCAAGTACAACAACTATAGGTAAGAGATGATTTAGATACGTAGCATTGTATGTCATCTCTTAAAGAGACAGTATACAGCTAGGTTGATTTAGTTAAAAGAAAAATTGGCATGTCGTCTCTAAGAGTCGATATATCCAAATGTAAATAATAATTTAAATGAACGGTATATGAGAATACAGTTTATGTGTGATGAAAGAAATAGAAATAAGACAATAAGTGCATTGGGCTTAATTAGGCGACGTTGGATTGAGAGTAAATTAGACTTTTTTCTAATCGTGCATGGCTTAAGCTTGGACTAACAAAATTTGCTATCGATAATTTGCATTTTTTTTCCGCTAGTATTGCAACTGCCCAATTAATTTTTCATTAGTACTAAAAAGGGTTTGGATTAATCGAAACATGAGAATATTTTAAAATATTGTTGCAACATTAATGAAGATAATGTGATTTTCCATTCCATCCGGATGAAGACGGACTCTCAATGGTGTGTTCGAACTTTGCAAAACAGGTTTGACGATCTTTCTGAGGTGGGATCTCAGTGGTGTGTTCGGACTTTGCAAACAGGTTTCACGATCTTTTCTGAGGTGGGATGTCTCTTCCACGACATTGGACGATGTTGTATTCTATTTGGTATGGTCAGTATTCTTTTTACTCCTCATGAGGGAAATGGTGCGACTCGCCAGATGGTCCAAATGGGGACTTCATTGGCGTTTGGATTGCGTATGGTTAGAAGATGGTCTAGTAAAAATTGTTAGGATTATTGATGATGCTTGTATTTAAAAAAAAAACTAATCAATTTGTAACGTACAAAAACTTTTTTTTCTTGTTGAAACATGTAACGTACAAAAACTTGATTGCTCAAAAAAAAAAAAAACTTATAGAAACTTGACTTACAAAATCACGTAAAGTGCATGATTGAACTTTATATCTATTTATTTTGTATGAGCACCCATTTGACATCTGTGTCAAATAAATAATTTTGTAAATTTGGACCCTTCAATATTGTATATCTCTATTCTCAAAGCAATCAATTTTTTAAGATTAGACATCCCATAAGAGAGGTTCAAGGATAACATGAAGTTGTAGTGTGAGCAAGAGAGTACTAATCATAATTTTTTGAGCAAAATATAGAAAAATTAAAGAAATGCAAAATTGAACAATCCGAACCCAACAATAGCTAGCGTTGTTTATTTAAGACAATTTCGTTTCCAAACAATTGTGTTTTAGGATAGGACGAATTTCGTTTCCAAACAATTGTGTTTTAGGATAGGACGAATTATCAACGTGTGAAAGTAACAGGTACTTCAATCACAAGACTCAATTAATAATGTTATTTAAAAAAATGTGAGAATAATCTTTTAATTTCAAACAGCAAAGAATTTTTTCGTATAAAGTTAGGGGCAACTTGAGATATGGCAAAAAAAATTAGGAAAATAAGCAAAATAGCAACAAGGTTTGGGTTTTTCAAATATAGCATTTTTTGGCAAAAAAACGGAGGCCCACATTATAAATTACAAATATACCCTGCAGGCCCGAACCAACAATAAATTACTTCTGATTGAGTTCTGATATACTAATGATTGACAGATATACTCCTGATATATATGTGATATATGTTTGATATACATATGGTATGAAATTGATTTACTTCTAATATAACTATGATATCTACTACTATAGGTGACATAGAATTGATTGACTTCTGATATACTATTGATTTACTTATGATATAACTATGATTGACAGATATACTCTTGATATAAATGTGATATATATTTCATATATATTTGATATGAAATTGATTTACTTCTGATATAACTACGATATATACTACTATAGGTGATATAGAACTGATTGACTTTTAATATACTATTGATTTACTTATGATATAACTATGATTGACAGATATACTCCTCATATATATGTGATATAAGTTTGATATACATATGATATGAAATTGATTTACTTCTGATATAACTATGATATCTACTACTAAAGGTGATATAGAACTGATTGACTTCTTATATACTATTGATTTACTTCTGATATAACTATAATTAACATATATACTCTTGATATATATGTGATATATGTTCGATATACATATGATATGAGATTGATTTACTTCTTATATAACTATGATATCTACCAATTATTTCGAACATATTACCTCTAATATATGTTTTATGATATACTAATATATGAAATAAWTTTTTTTYAGATAAAAGCWATGGTACAAACACAMAAAATGAAATAAAAAAACATTRTCGAAAATGTTGATGTCGTTCGTCCCAAAAGACAACATAAACCAACGCCAAAACTGTTGTCTTTGGAAAAATGAAAAGCTTCAAAGATAGTATCTCCGAAAACACGACAATCACCAAGAACGAAGATTGATGTTTCAAGCTTTTACCTAAAGATTATACAAGAATGAAACTTACACTTTTCTAGACTGTTGGAACTTATGCTTATGAAACTTATGCTTCTTCTTTTATAGAATTTTAAGAATGACATTGTTAGTCTACTTTTGCTTTATGCTACTGGTTCGTTTTGATGTTTAAACCTTTAAATTTTTGGTTGAAGGACTTTGCTGCTGATTTGATATTGATGTTGATACCCAAGAATGACATTTAAACCTTTTAAGAATGACATTGTTGCTGCTTTCATTTTGATCTTTAAAACTTTAAATAAAACTTAATTGTACTATTGATATATGTACAATGTATACTTGATATATCACTGATATATTATTGATATACAGAAAAACTCTAAGTTTCTATTTACCTCTAATTTCTAATTGATTTCTCATTCACAGTAATTTCGAAAGTCACCATTGACATTCACATGCATGTTCCTTTTCAAGTTTTCTTTCTCATTTTCAGTAAGTATCAAATTTTTTTCTCATTTTACATGCATGTCAATACCTACTAATTTCTAATTGATCAAAAAAATATAAGACAAAGGGTTAAAGCAGGTAAAATAGTGATTTACTATTATACAACTGATATAGAACTGATTGACTTTTGATATACTATTGATTTACTTCTGATATACTAATGCTTTTAGATATACTCCTGATATATATGTGATATATGTTTGATATATAATAACGAAGCGATAACTGAAAAGGGTAATTTGGGAATACTGAAAATTTTAAAATCAGGATTTTCAACAAAATGCTATATCTGAAAATATAAAAAATGCATGCTATTTTGTTAAATATAGAAAACTTATATGCTACCCATTACAAATCCCCATAAAGTCATGTGTTTATACAAATGACACTGTCTCTCACGTAAAGTTGTGGTTGTTTAATTTTGTTAAAAATAAATTTATTCACAAAATCCAACAATATTAATGGGAATAGTACTCCGAGCCAAGACACATAAACACAAAAATAATTCGTTTCACTCCCATTTTTCAGACTTGTATATCATTATAAATTGGAGAATGGAAATATTTCATACATATCTCGATTAAATTAGCGACACGACACCTAATAGTTTGCAAATACACAAAGAAAGAAAAAGAAAAACCTTTCTGATAACTAAAGCTACGTACTAAAAAGCCACAGATTATTTTATATATATATATATATATATAGGGAGTATTTTTCAAACGGTTGAACTTGCGTCTCTGCCCTTGTCGTTGCCGTCTCCGTCGTAGCAATCGGCCACCGTCGTCTTCTGCAGTGTTTTGTACGAATACCGCCGAGCCAAGAACACATAAACACATAAATTAACTGCCACAACTGCAGCTATTAGCCAATAGAAATTGTCCAAACGGCTGCTGTTCAAATCATCCCCAAACCAACTCTTGTCATTACTCTTTTTGGTGATCCGGTCCACTACTGTGATCAGCAAGCTGCTGACGAAATTGGCAGCCCCATTGACACTGAGGTACAGCGCTATCCCAATGCTTCTCATGGAGTCAGGAACTTGGTCATAGAAATACTCCTGCAGGCCCACCAGCGCAAACCCATCTGCAATTCCGATGATCAGAAATTGTGGGGCCAACCAGAACACGCTCATCTCCATGGATCCTTTTGTTGGGTTGTCTTTTACGACGTCAAGTCTCTTGCGCTCGACGACGGCGGCGACCGCCATCGACGTGAGGGAGAAAACCATTCCAATTCCTATCCTTTGGAGAATGCTTATGCCCCTCTCGTTGCCTGTGGTTTTCCGGAGGATTGGAACGATTACCTTGTCGTAGATTGCGACAGAGACGATCATGCCGGCCGCCGCCAAACAGAACATGGACGATGCGGGCATTATGAAACTGTTTCCGATTTTCCTGTCGAGAGTTAAACATTGTTTGATGAAGAATGTGGACGTTTGTGCCACGCAGATTCCGAATGGTAAAGATGTTATCCAAATTGGGATCATATTTAGAATCAGCTTCAGCTCCTCAACTCTAGTAACGGTTGCAAGTCTCCAAGCACTCTGTTTCCCACTTGAATTACCTGTCTCCTCAATGATCGCAGCTTTGTCCAAAAACCTGTACATTTTCAATATTTTATATAAGCCCAGATGATTTAATTTGTTTGAATAACGATATTTCAATTTAGTCTCTACAATTTGACAAAATTTCACTATTTTTTCTGAATTGTACTTGAGAACACACTTCTTCATTTTCATTCTGTTTGTTTTTTTTTTCTTTTTGTGATAACTGTGCTATGCTCTCCTATATCTAGAGACATCCACGCCTATCCAAGGTCCGAATTCGAGAAGCCTCAAGTGTTTTCGGTATTAAACTCACCAAAATGTTCTAATTTAAGACTTCTAAACTAGTATAACTAAGGGACTTCAAGACTTGCCAACTAAGCTGCTCTCGTAAGTTGTGCTTCCCCATATTTTTTTGCTCAACTATAGGACTTGATTGAAACTTTTAGGGCTGCGGAGACAAAATTGAAAAGCTTGATTGAAAATTTTAAGACCATAGTGACTAAATCAAAAGACCTGATTGAAATTTTTAAGACTATAGAGACAGAGATTGAAACACGGTGTGAGAGATGTCGGGGACCTTACTTGAGCTTCTTTGTGTGGGACAAGAGCCTCCCCTGAATGTTGTGAGTGGATTGGAGTTCATAGAGGTGAGAAGGATGGGGAGGATAAGGCAAATTCCTGTTTCTGAAGGCAGCCACAAGAACCTGCAGAAGCGGCGTTAAAGGGCTTCCCAATGGCGCCCTGAACCGATAAACCGGCCTGCCAAGGAGGAAGATTGCAAGAGATATGGCCATCACGGATGTGAGAATCGCACCGGACACTCCCCAGCCCACATGGTCTTGCACGTAAACGATTAATGTCACTCCAAGTATGACGCCGGCACAGAGGCCAGAGTTCCACCAGTTGAAAAACGACATCTTTTGCTTCCGTTCCTCGGCGTGATCGTCGTCGAACTGGTCAGCGCCGAAGCTCTCCAGAGAAGGCTTGTGCCCACCGGTCCCGACGGAGATGAAGTAGATGGCCGTGAAGAACAGAACTTCATGAATCTTTCTGGGCTGGTCGCACGTTATTTCAGCGCCACATGCCTTCAAGCTTGGCACCAGAGTGGACACTGTGAGCAGAGACAGCCCCTGTTTGTAAATAAAATGCCAAATCATTGTTAAATAATTTTAATTAACATGGTGCTCTTAAATTAATAAGAAAAGGAGAAAAGGGATTACCAGGAGGTAGACGATTGTGGAAGCGAGGACAGTGGAGAAACGGCCCAAATAAGCATCGGCCAAGAACCCACCAAGCAGAGGCATCAAAGTGGTGACACCAGTCCAGTAATTCACATTTCTCGCTGCTGTTTTCAAGTCCTGCCGTATCACTTTCGTCAGATATATCACTAAGCTCGTCGCTATGCCAAAGTAACTCAGCCTCTCACTGAACTCAATCGCTGCATAAAACAAACACAAATCAAATAAATTAAAAACAAACAATCAAACAGTGATGTCGTCTATTTTGGTCAGATCAACCTTTAATTTGACGAGTTAAATGGTAAATTTAAACATTCATAGATATCTTAAATGATAATATAGAGATCAGAACACTCTAATACCATGTTAAATTATGGATCAATACAAAAACTTAAGTGGGTGGGTTATGATAAATTTAAATCTTAAGAGTTGATTGACTTACTGTTTTAGTCGGTAACACATTGAACCATGGCCTACGATTTATACGCATGATTGAACTCGTCTGGTCAGTATTATTGCTTTCAAAAGTTTAAAACTTTATGTCATGGCCACATTAACTTTTACATATTACACTTTTGTTTTGTGTGGTTAGAAAAGGATACAGGAGTTATAATATTAATAATATGATGTGTGCTAAATTCTAATCGGTACGTAGTCATCCAAGATTCTTTTGCTTCTGAAAGAGAAAAAGAGAGAGAAGAAAAGAACTTCTTGATGATATTTCTCTATCTCCACATAATTAAATAAATAAACCTCATATTTCATGACTTTTGAGACAGAGAAGAGGTTTATTGGGAAAATTTCCTAAAGGGAATTTTCCATGCCTCCTCCATTTAGGTTGTTTCATGGGTTTATTATCGTATAAATTGAAAAAAATATTTTTTTTTGTAAAGGAATTAAAAATATATTTTTAGAGTGTGTCAGTGTTTATTATTATACAAATATATACTATATTTTGTTTATCCAAATGTTTATAACTAAATTATTTTACTATATTCTACTTGCTCTCTCTTGTTTATTGATATATTATCTCTCTTGTTTCTTAATTTTTCATTCCTCTACCTTCAAACCAAATGTTTCCTTCTTTTTTTCATCGTTATTATTAAAAAAATTTTATGGATATCTTCCCTTTCTTCTCTGTTTATTTTCACCGTTATTGCACTTTCTTATCTTCCTTCCAACCAATAAAATTTATATTAGAATTTTTTATTTTATTTTATATCTTATTCTTTATTTTCATTTGCATATTTCTAAAATATGAAAGAATATTTGTTTATTTTATTTGTAATTTTATTTTTCAATAATCACAAATTGTTTTGTCACATTTAATTAATATTACAATCTGATTTTACTTGTTACATATCTTGTTATATTTATTTGAAACTTTATTTTCAAATAATTAAATAAATGTTTTGTCTCACTTTAAAATATTAGAATTAAAATTTACTTATTTAATATATACATGAATAAATCACACAAAAACAAAAGCTTAAGCCTAACAAAACTTTAAATGAAGGCAAACATATTTGTAAAAAAAAAAAAGACAACATTTCATTAAAAAGAAAATTAAAATGTGCCAATGATTAGAAATACAACTATTAATCAAGAAAGGATAATATTTGATATCATATTGGAACTTAAAAATAAGAAAATTTCACTTAGATTTTGATGAAGAGAGATGATATATGGTTATAAAATTGTCCAAATAGAGACTTTATTGGTTTCGAGGAATATAAGAAAGTGAAAAAACAGAGAGAATAAAAAGCGAAAAAGTGAAGAGATGTCTGCAAAAAAATTTAATAATAACAATGAAAATTTGAAAAAAGAAAAAGGAAAAAGAAGAACGAAAAATTCAAACAATAAAATCAAGAAAAATAAGAAATCAAGAGAAAGTAGAATGGGGTAAAGTAATTTAGTTATAAATATATGGACCCCCTGTAAAATTTGTTTCATTTGTATGTAGACCCACCTAAAAGTAATTTAGTTATAACTAGACACATGATTGATATGTATTACCCTGGTTCTAAAAATCCATCGACACGTCGATATTTCCATCAACATATCTATATTTTCATGTGTTCGACATCGACATGAGGGGTGAATCGACATTTTCATCGTAGTACAAGAAAATTGACAAAATATGAAAAATATCAACAAAATGTCACTAATATATATACAATATTAATATTAATAATTTTTAACTAATTTAAAAATGGAAAAAGGTTTATTTGTTAATTTAAATATTTTTTTAGGATTTTTTAATTTTTCTAATTTTTACATAAATATCCGACCTCGACATTTTATCGATATTTCCATGAGATTGAAACCTTTTCATTTTCACGGACATCGACAGTTAAAACCTTGTGTATTACTAATCAGGAGGTCTTAAATTAGAATTTTCTTCATTATGCATTTTTACTAAAAAAAAAAAAATAAATTGAGGTGGTATAGAAAATTTTGAAAATCTCCCGTTTATTAGGCAATTAGTTTTATTAATTAATTATGGCATCCTCCGAAATCCCACTAAAATAAATAAATAAATAAAATAACCACCCTCGTACAGTTGAAGCAAAAAGGGTACAATAAATCTTCGTACATCTCACTGTATTATGACGTTTTCGAGAACTCCATATGTAATAGGGTTAAAGCAAAGGAAGTGATATCATAAAATAAAGAGAACGAGATGCATCAAAAAGAAATAAAGAAATTATTAATTAACATGATTGGAAAACGAATAAAAGGCGAAAACTCTGTACTAAAACAAAAATATAGACAGATTATGCAGCGAGAAGAGAACCCAAAATTAAGAAGAAAGTGAATGAAGAGATTATATTCTGAAGAAAAGAAAAGCTTATATGATTGGTCGAACAAAAATTAATAAAAAAAGAAATGAAAAGAAAAAAGGGAAAATATTCAGTTACCGATGATGAAGAGAGAAGCTTTCCAGACGCCGGTGGAGGCTCGGAGGGGAATTCTGCCCTTGTGATCAACAGAAGAATCGTGAACCAAATCATGATTGTGATTATTATTATTATTATTATGGTGGATTTTGTTTTTGGGCTGATCTGTAAATTCTTCACGTTCGGTTTTCATTTTCCTGGGCGGTTAGGACCAATAATAAAGAGAAGAAAAGAAAAAGAAAAAAGGGGTTTGCTTTTAATTCTCTCTCTTCCTTAGAGTGAGATCAAAGTGGGAGTGGAGATGAAGACACAGGACTGCCTTTGGACTCCTTTAAATAGGGATCATGCACGCCCTTTGCCTTTGCTTTGACCCACTTGCATATTACAATTATTAGACTCTAAAAAAATTTGAAATTATTTATTCCAACATCACAGATTCATTCAAATATACCACTAAGTCGATAATGAATGCTTTAAACATTAATTTATGCATTTATCTTTCTTAGTTATCAAAAGTTTTATCCAAAATAAAAACATGTAATACTCATCTTGTTACGATTTATGTTATTGTTTTTTTTTTTTCTTCTCTTTTGGCCAAATAGAGTGTGTGAAATTGAATGAGACAACCACAAATGTCATTTTAGGAGGGAATAGTATTTAATATGCTTTTCTCATTTGGGGGCCATGCCGATGCCCGTATGTGAAGCCTTGGACTTTTGCTTAGTTTGGTAACCACCGCCCAAAAATTCCGAACAAAATATAGACCCACGCAAAAGATCCATCTCATATTTCATTTCACTATTATTCCAACTCTGAAATTGATTTTAAAATCAAATCAATTTTTAGGTTTAAATCTATTTTAGTCTCTATTTTTAAAAATAATAATCTATTTAGATTTATAAATTTTCAAAATGTTACTTCCATATTTATTTTTTCCTTTGAAGTCGGAAGTTCAAACTACTCCCATGTTTTAATTTATCACACAAAAATTAAATTAAAAAAAGAAAGTAAATATTACTCGTTGTGAAAATCAAATACTAATTAAATGCTTCTTGGACAACTACCTTAAAACGCTTTGAAGTATTATCAATTTTCTTTTTATCACGAGTATCAATATTTATGATGACTTTTGATGGATTAAAAGCATTAATGGCAAAAAGCCATACCAACTTGTCTTTGAACAAATATAAAATAAAATAAAATAAATATGTGTTTCGTAACAGATTTGGTAATTGAATCTCAATTTAAAAAAATGTTCAATGTGTCTTTAGTAGTATATTTGTAAACTATTGTAAACTAAATTTTAGTTTAACCTAAACTTATATTAATTAATTTATTAACGTTTATTTATGAATTTTGTATAATTGTTATTTTACAAGGTTATATAATTTAGAATACATTATATTTTACCTGTTTTAATTTTAACAAACATAAAATAAGTTTATAATATGAAGTAATATATTTATCAAAGTTTTTATCATTTTTAATGTAATGATGCATTTTCAAAATTTCAAATTCTGAATCTGAAAAGACTGAATACATAAAAAAAAAAAAATCGTTTTCGTGTATTCGCTGGATCATTTGATTTAGTGAATGTGAAAACAAAAAAACAAAATACGAGTTTCCAACCAAACATGCCCTAAGTTCTCGTTTTATAATAATTTTGTTTTTCTTTTTCTTTTTCCATTTTTAAAAATTAAGCTTSTAAATAGTATTTCCACTATATATTTCTTTGTTTTGCATCTAGTTTCTAAAATCATTTTTAAATAGGTTAAAATTAAAAAAAAAATTTAAACATATTAAAGAAATTGTGAGCAAACAAGCATAATTTCCAAAAACGAAATAGATTATTAAATGGGCCTATATAATTAAAAATGTATTTTACATATGTCGAACAGTGTTTTTCTCTACCATTCATATTTTTTTTAGTGCAACAATATGTACGGGGATTGGCATTCGAACCTACAATATTTCCACTTGAGATATATGTCTTAGTCAACTATGTTCAAAGTTGGCACCACTAATCATATTTGGTATTAGAATCATATCACCATTTTCACAACAACATTGTTTCTCTCTCAATAGTTTGGTATTGTAATTATCGTCACGTTTTGGTAATTACTAAAATAATCATCCATCAATTTAGCATTTCTATTCTTAATCGAATTATTGTTATAAATCATCATTTTATCGCGAGCAGCCACCAATAATTTCACCTCATCTTTCCATATTTCATCATCGTATGCATCTATTACCAGTCAATTGATTGCAATTGGAGAGTTTGATTTCTAAATTTTTGGAATTAATAATTTACTTTTTGACCTTTGAACCAAAGTTTAGTATATAATATTTTTAGCGGCCAAAGGGTCAACCCTAAAAATAGTGGGAAAAGACAATTTAGATAATTAGTTTAGACGCAAATTGAGGGCAAGGAAAATGGTGAGTGTGGACAAATACGAAAATATGACAAATATTACTGTACAGTGAAATGGAACATTTTCTTGTCTCCATCATAAATTTTAGGAACTATTCTCTTTATGAACCATGCAATCACATGTTAAATGAAATAAACTCTCAATTTGAAAATATATGTATGGCGAAGATTCTTGCTTTGATTATAACATTTTTCTTAGAATGGTATAAAGAACTTTTTCAAAAAAATTTAGTACAATAATTTTAGGCATGAGAATTTGAATCTTCGACCTCAACGAAAGAAGTAGATATGATCATTTATTAACAATAATATAAAGCTACTAAAACTATACCGATTTCAAGTTTTTGATCATATATATACTAAACCTTAGTCTAATAAGATTTGAACTTTGGGTACTTTAAATTTAATTATTTATCCTGAATCTAGTTTATACTGACGTCAGTCTTCTTAGAAGTCAGATGAAATCATATTTGGTCACTTAATACATAATTAATGTAAAGGGCAGTTTATTAAGACTGTTGGTTAATTAGTCTAATATTTAGTTAAAACAGTGTGATTACTTAGTACTTACTCTGTATTCTGATAGATTGAAAGGATGAATGAAATCATATTCTTCTGAGACATCTCTTGACTGATAATAGGACGTGAAGAATATGGAGGAAAGAAAATTGAATGCTTCTTCAAACATAAAAACTTGAAATCCTACCGATTATTCTTATCTGATAATTAGGAGGAGGAATGCTAAAGTAAGCTATTAAAACAATATTTTTTAATAATTAATTTACACATTTTTTAATATAGAAAATGTGAACAAGTTTGAATTTAGTTGGATCCATACGTATAACCAACCAGAATTGAAGCCTAAAATCATTTGAATTTGGTCTATAACCTTCACTTCAAACTATTATTTTCATTTAAGTTGGAAAATTTTCAAATCAAGCCACGCGTCGAGTAAATGAGATAGTTAAAATAATTTAAACCCAACGTAATGAATTATGATAAATTTAATCTTTTAGTTATATTCTTAACACTTTCATGGACTTAGAAATTAGTACAAACAAGATCCAACAAGTGATTATCAAATATTAATTGGGGAATAAATAAAATTACAAGGCATAAATCACTAATTGAACTCAGGAGCTTCAACTGATGAGTTACGGTAAATTTGATATTTTATTTGTATTCTTAGCAAACTTAAAACAAAAATGAATACTTGTGAAGAATTGAATTGAATATTATTCAAACTTTCCACAAAAAGTTCTTCTCCACTCTTCAAACCTTTCAAGAGATAAAAGCAAGGGCTAGGTAAATTAAGAATAATATTTGTTGGCAATATACCACAAAAACTCAAACCAAGTTAGTTGAGCAGCATTGTGATTGGTATATGGTGATCATGATGATATAAATAAAAAATATAATATATAGATTAATTTCAGTGGACAATATATAAAAGCCTTTTTTTTTTCATTATGGCCACACAATCTCTCTCCATTTTGGATATAAAATCATGATTCAACAAACACAAAACACTGGAAGAAACAATTTTGTGTCAACTCAAATTCACCACCCATCAATGCCTTTTTATGATTTTATCTTGTTCTTCCAGTGTTTCATTTCAGTGCCTTATGCCCTTAATCTAGCTGTCTTCTTTACACACATTAGTGGGGTATATATGTATGTATTTGTTTCAACAAAATCTTAAAAATTTTCATAATTAATACAATCTTATCCTCTTTTAAATATTAATTCACCATTATTAAGTATAGAATTCAAACCCTTCATAAATACATCTATAAATTAGAGATCTTTATGTATATATATGTACGGCCTACTTTATACTTTGAAAATAGTTCTTCCAAGACCTAGGCTATATATGCATCTACCTCTAATAAAAAAGTCGTGAATTCGAATCCTTACCGTTCTGAATGCAATCTTGTGTATATAAATCAAGGATGTCATCTCTATATAACAATGAGATCTTTTTTGCGACACCAAAAATAAAATCGTGAAAGTTATTGATGGTGATCCTCCTTTGACACCTACCCACATGTTGTACTAAAAAAAGTATATCAGTTATGGATTTTGATATATAAAATAACATCGAAATTCCTCGAGTTGAAACGTCTCCAATAAGATAAAAAGTTAATTGTGTTGAGTGTTGTGTTGGAAGTCGTAATGAAATTAAAGCATGTGAATTTAATGTCTCTAGTTGTAGTTCTCTTCTTTATAGGTAGCTTTGATGGGGTGACTGTCCATGAGTAATGGTGAATCAAATCATATCATATGAGAGAAAGAAAATTAAAGCTATAATTATAATTTTTTTAAGAAAAGAAAAGTTAGAGCCACCTTCCCAATTTGAGTGGGAGATCCATATCAGTCACCATCTCCAACTTATTATTCTGGATTGATCAGAATCTGTTCTTGGAGGTCAAGTTGGCATTAATTCACTTAAAATTATTATGAGGAGATTGCATTTCAGACCCTTAAGATATTTCGTTTTCAGAATTAGTGTCAGTGTTGTGGGAGAATCCCTTGATTGAGCTCTCTGTACAAGTTTGCGAGCTGAATGGAGAAAGAATTTTAATGTTTATTACAAACATGAGGCTCTTCTTCCATGCATCTCTCTCATGAAAATTTCCAAAATCTCTGGTCTTTTACAGTTCTAATTTGCATGTTCTTCTCTTTGATGATTCTGCTTTACACTACTGAAAATGATATAACCACTGAATTTATTCCCCATTCCTTTCTAGTGTTTGTGTTTGACATGCATTTTTAAACTACCTATGGATAACTAAAAATGTTCCTTAAAAACAAATTGTTGTATTTGCCTAAAAAGTTGTTGTAGATCGG